AAATATATTAAAATCCTTGAGAGGGTGTTGAGACGCCAAATTAAATTTTTATGGAAAGGCATAACCTGCACATCTCATCAAGGGTTGAGAGCAAGACTTTCACAACTACTAAATCTTTATGACAATTCCAGAGACTTTGGAAGAATCCCAAAATACTGACGTGATCTACACTGACTTTGCTATAACATTTGACAAATGTGACCATGGAATGATAGCACATAAGGTGATGTCAATAGATGGTGTCAGTAGGTATAAGAGAAAAATCAGGCAAATTTATTTTCAAATTTCTAACGAGTATAAAACAAAAAGTAGTGATAAATAAAGTATACAAAATATAGCCTTAAGGTGATAGGCTCAGTACCTCAAGGCACAGTCCTTCCACCCCTTATGTTTCTTTTTTTTATTCTCATAGCCTAGTTAAAAACACAGACCACGGCTTTGTTTCATCCTCTGGCGGACGATACAAAAATTAGCATGAAAGTCACCCTGGCAAAGAGGAACTTTACTAAGACGTGTCACATGTAAACAGATTCTTCTTCAGTGACTGCGATTTCCACTTTTTTTCCACCACTTGTCGGTTTTACTACACTTGTATTAATCTAAATTCTACTAGTGGAGGTAGAATGTAACGTGATGTTAAAAGGGGGAAAAGGGAAAACTTTGAACTGCTCGGAAATGGAATGAGAAACTCAGAAGGAAGAACATATACAGAGAACAGGTTATTTTAGTTCTAAGAGTCACAATTTAGAACGAAAATAACTTGTTAGAGACTTGAATGCAATAACATCAGCTGACCAGTCTTTTAACGAATACAACGGAGTAAATCATAAAAAAATCTTAAAAAATGGCATAGTGGATAATCAGAACTTTCAAAGCAAGAGAAATAATGCCAATGGTGTCACTATTCAAACCTGTAGATGAATGGTTCACAGAACCGACATGTTGATAAATTAGACACATGTGCAACTCTTGGGTATCTTTATTGAGGAAACGTTTCGCCACACAAGAGTTGCACATGTGTCTAATTTATCAACTATTCAAATCACCTGAGAGTATTGCTTGACGCTGACAGATCCATTCAAAGCAGGCGAGACAACAGCGCCGGAAAGTATACAGTAAGCATCCCTTTCTGCCCACAGAAAGCAAGACAGCATTTAAACAACAAGGAATCGGAAATGTACTCTCCGGAGAGAAGGCGAAAGAGATATAAAAATACATACATGGAATACAGGGAGGCCTGGTCCCAAATCCGCCCACCACTGTAACAACCTCCTGGTGTGAAGGATACGGGAAGAAGTGGAAGACAGACCCAGTGAAAAACAGGAAAGCCATTGGCACAAAAAGGGAAGAGTGTGTCAACCTCCAGGGACCTCGAGGCTTTAACCTTCTACCAGCAAGTATCAGAAATATTGCCAGCATAAGGTGTGGAAGTATTCTAGAGTAAACTGTATCACTACCTCCGCTGTGTGTCAGATCAACCAGACTGTGATGATTATGTAGTCCGCTGGGCTGCCAACAGCAGCAGTCTGGTTGAGTAGTCAATCACCATAGAGGCCGGGCCAAGAAAGCAAGAAAAACTCACGAAACGGGTCACAAGTAAATTAGAGGTAAAAAGCCATTTGCTGCTTGCCGGATTTATTCTCTTAGCCTCGTGGGCCCTGCCATACATATTCTTAACACAATGTATGGAACCTGCTTTCATTACTTCGCCCTAGTCATTCCAACTTTCTGACCACTTTGAAATTGAAGAAATACTTCCTGACATCCTTGTGACTCAACTTCATCTTTAACGTCCAAATGTGCCCTTGCGTACTTGTTTCTTGCCTCTCCAAGAGTCCATCCTTTTTATCACGTCTATCCAGGTTCTTCTATCCTCTGTAGTCAGGCTCAGTTCTTATAGTCTCAAGAGATCCTTTCCCTTAGCTTTGATACCTGTCTCGTTACAAACCTCTGCACTTCCTCCATTTTTTTATGTTTTTTTTTTCAGGTTTACGTGCGTGCACTCGCGTCTGTTTATGCTAAAAAACACTTGGCATAGGGACAGTGACAGCAGTGACGCCCCAGCGAGAAGGGAGTGTGGAGGAGTTATAACTAAAATAACTGGAAGGAGGATGTTTAGGAAGAGGCGAGGGAGGATATGTTGGTAGAAGGGAGAGAGAGGGAGGAAGAGGTGGGGGCTACACATGTGGGATGGAACTGCAGGTGTGGGATGGAGCTGCAGGTGTGGGATGGGGCTGTAACACGTATGTCCCTCGTAACTTAACTTTCACAGCTGTTCGCCCTAGTCTTGTTTACATAAATCAGCTTTTTTGTCCGCCCAGATGAGTGAGAAGGTAACAGGGTAAGAAAAAACGTGGAAAGAATGGCAAGAAAGAGGATAAAAGGAGAATGACAAAATAACGAGAGAAACAGGGAGGGGGAGAAAGCAAGAGAAGATGAGACGGGGAGAGGGGTAAATGAAGGTGAAGACACACAGGAAGATAAACAAAGCAAAAAAAAAGTAAGGTAAAAAGAGATATACACAAGACAAGTACACTACTGCAGCGTCACTAGCCTCGCCCTCTTACCTACAACCTCCTCTTACCTATTATTACACCCTCTTACCTAGAAACCCCCTTTTATTCTTTCAAGAAGTGAGGGGGAGGGCCCTAAGTTCACATATAACATGACTATTAAAAGTCTCATATTCAACTTCCATATAACATAAATATTGCTTTATCTTCTTTGCCTCAAACACCTAAATAATACTTGATAGCCATTGATCTAAACAGAAACAGTTCTCAGTAGATAGCCTCGGTTAGGACTGGAGAGTACTCTGCTATCTGTCTTAACCATATACTCCTTTATACAAGCATTTGTATACCTGAAGTATCAGGTGGCGCTTACACATGCATCGGTATTCTCGCGTAGGAACGTAGATATCACACAAAAAATGTTTTCTTAGGTCTATGAACTAGCGACTGCAAGGGAGTCTTCAAGACCGAATTTCACCTGTTCTCTAACGTTTAGAACCTTTTAGTCTATAAACTAAGGAATAAAGTAAAACGACAGATATATGCCTCTCGATGTATTCACGGATATACACCTGACAATGTATATACCCCGTGAAAGGGCTGAGCCATAACTCCCCTCTCTTCATCGGTCAAGTGTTAGCACACTTACTGTACTAGGCAGCGTAAACATTAGCACCAAACCTCCTCGCTTGACAGTCAGCTGACACCATCATTTTCAACAATTCGACACCGGGGAAGTGCGAAAATGACCCTAAAGGTACCGTGGCATAACGGCTAGAATGCTGTCTTGGCTTCCGGCATTGCTCACGAAAATGTAAACAAACCGAAAAAAAATATTTTCTGTGAGATCGTGAATGTCGGTGTTTACTATGTGTAGCTGGAGACATCCTGCAGGCATCCTACAAGCATCCTTCAGGCATCCTACAAGCATCCTTCAGGCATTCTACAAACATCCTTCACGCATCCTACAGGCATCCTGGACGTCATCTGAAGGTAGCATTTAGTGTGTAGCTGGAAACGCACTGCTAGTATTCTGGAGGCATCCTAGAGGCGTCCTGAGGGCATCCTAGAGGCATCCTGGAAGCATTCTAGAGGCGTCCTGAGGGCTTCATATCGTTCTGGAGGCATCCTAGAGGTGTCCTGGGGGCATGTAGGGGAGGGATATCCTAGAGACATCCTGGGGGCATCTTGGAGGCGTCTAATGACATTCTGGAGACTTTCTGGGGGAATTCTGAAGGCGTCCTTGATCATCCTAAATGCAATTTGAAGAGATCCTGAAGGTATCTAAGGACGTCTCGGAGATTGTTTTAAGTGTGGAGTTGAGACACCCTTGCGGCTCCTGGAGGTGTCCTGGAAGCATTCTTCAGGCGTCTTAGAGGTATCATGGGAGCATCTTGGAGGCGTACCGAAGGTGGTGTTTGGGGATGAAGGTGTTCTTGCGTATTTCTGGAGGCAGTGTTGACAGTACTGGGGACTGGAGGCAATGTTTACGGTCTTTGGGGCTGGAGGCGTCCTTGCGTGCTCCTGGAGGCAGTGTTTATTGTGCGTGTACCTTCAGGCGACCCAGATGCAGGGGGCGTAACTCCTTCAGGCGCTCAGCTGATCTCACCAAGACATCATTTGGATCATTGCTTGTTTGTGACTGGTGAGCTGAATGTAGCATCGTGACCCATTTATAAATTTAAAGCGTAATTACAACAGGAGTTTAAGGTATTTCCTGTAAAACATAAAGTGATCAACAGCTGCAATCTTGATAAGGTTTTCAGCAAAATTTCATAATAATCTTCATAACTCGTGGATATAATCTCGTGGTTTAAGCCTAGAAGCACGAATTCTTTACATCCTTTTGTCAAGCCAGATCCTCAAGCAAGAGATCTTCATGGAACTAAAAAAAAAAAAAAAAGGTCCCAACACAAAGCCCTTGCCTTGAGGGAGCCCCGTACGCGCGCCACCCCCCGGCAACCAGCTGATAACCTCCCACATACCAACAATGACTGCCACGCTGCGCATGATCTCGCTCGGGCCATGATAATGCCTCGTGCGAGGGTTGATAAGGCCATTTACACCGAATTCCCTGAGAAAAGACGGTAAAAATGCGGCTTGTGAACGTCATTAGTGAGAGAGGAGCCAGAGGCGCGGGTGTGGATGCTGCCACATGGCTACCTGCTGCCTCCCTACACAGTCGCGTTGACCAGGATTTCAACACCTCGTTACTTGTGACTTGCTTTTATAGTGTTTTAGTGTGAATCATGATTACATATCTTTCCTATGAGGGTGCATTACTACGGTAATCAAAAACACTTAATAGACACATGGGTAAGGTGCCTATGGCCGAAGCTGGAGATAATATTGAACGGAGTGCAAACATGCATGCATAAGAACAAGAACATGTGAGTGGAAGAACACTGCAGTGGGCCTATTGACCCATGTTAAGCAGATTTTTTCGATAGACATACATTGTGACGTGCTGTTGTATCATTGACCTACCTCGTCATCGGCGTCGTCGACCACATCATCAACAACATCGTCTACAACATCATCACAAACATCGTCGACATCGTGCATAATCTGTCCCTCAATGACGGAGAAGACTTGGGTAGTGTTGGAGGTGGTGAGGGAGATGGGCGAGGTAACTTGGTGCTTTCTCAGTGAGAGCACCACCCCTTCTGTGACACTGGGGGACTTTCGTTTGAGAGCCTCGGAAGGACTTCCTGCGTTCAGTGGGGACATGGCCATCATGTAGCACGTGATTCACACTATATTATTCCAGTTAGACAAGATTCACAGGTCGACAGAGTGGTTTGGAAGCACCAACAAAACTCAGTCCACACTGAGATTACCAGGACACGAACTGTTAGCAACCGCTTAAAACAACCGAGAATAAACCATCGTTCACTAGTTAACCAAAGTTTCTTCTCACCCACTGATCGTCTCTATGCTTTGTCCTTAACCTTGAAGAACTCTCACGCTGTCCTGCTGCACTTAGTTTGTTTCACACTCGTGTAGGCTCGCACGTAGTGTACACACACACTATCAAGTGCTTGTCAACACAACACTATATGGACGGTACATAGCCCAGGGTGAGCAGGTGAAGGTAGGGTGTAGTAAGAGGCGAGGAGCAGGGACAGAGGGTGGCGTCTACGTAGCCTGAGGGAATGCGACTGCCAGACTCAGGAGTCTTATGCTTGAGTGACGCCAAGAGAGGAGGAGGAGGAGAAGGAGGAGGGGAGCAGGTAGACCAGGGGGGAACTGCTCACCTGCCATTATCTACCTGAAGGGACGAGATGCCCGCATGCCCACCCATCTCCATATTCAGTCCGGGCACCTGGCCACTGCGCACGCTAGTCTAGCTCTTAGTAACTCCGTGTAAAAGGGACGGCTTGAAAGTACAAGTGGCCGAACAATTCTAAGAATAAACGAAGTGAGTGGACAGTGCATAGTCCCCCCGGCCCACCTGTAGCCAGGGTACACTTGCCACACCTCGCCAGATACCTCCTTCTCTAACATATAACTTTCACGTATTAATAATGCCCACTTACCAGTGTTTACAAATAAGGACAATATAAAAAATCATCTTTTACAAATATGACAATGGGATAATTTTTCACGGTAAAATTAAAAATACTGGAAATATAGGATGCTTTTTTTCCGGATGATTAATGATGTCCATCTCGTAAATTACATCTCATTAGAGAGTTAGCGGGCATGGTGGCCATAGACGCACATAACGCAATATCTGGGCCGATAAAGTGCCAGTAGTGAGCCAGCATGAAGCTTAACAAGTGATGAGTAGAGGAGAGGAAGGTGGGCAGGATTGGTGAGGTGTGGCAACCCTGCCTCGTACCCCCATCTGGCTGCCTCAGCTCCGCCCGTCGCGTTTCTTCTATCTCATTGTAATTCTGACCAACGTCTAGACTGACCTGGGCGGTAAGCTTTTTAGCCTGCGCTCTTTTCGCCTCCTCTCTCTCTCTCTCTCTCTCCATCTGACATCACTTTCAGATGCGTGTAAGCTTTATAAGCTGGGTAGAGAGCGCGGGGGAGGAGAGCTGGAGGGCAGAGAGGCGCCAGGTAGGATAGGTGAGAGGGTTACTTCAGGTGTCCCTTGTCCTGGAAGGTAACCGTCTTGTACCGCTCTAGGCCACGTATAGTAAACAACCCTTCTCAGTCTTAATACCTAATCTGCATCCTCTATAACCCGTTACGGCCTTATTTAACTCTCCTGGAGTGCTCAGGATTTGTATGTGACACGAATATCCTGCTTGGGTGGATCTACTGGACTGATTTTCGATCAGATGTCCCCAGGCGAAGGCAGGGCTATAGGAAACTTGGCAACATAGGTAACCGCCTGGGGCGAGACGTGGCAACAGTGGCGCGCGGTTTGCCCGATGGCAGGTTTTACCTTGAAGCTGTACTGGACCATGCAAATTGCTTCGTCTCATTTTATATAATTTCGTTTCAAGAAGAGAGAAACTTCCATCGCCTGACAGAAGGAGTCGAGTGTCGAAGTTTGCCCTATACAGTAGGTCTGCCAGTGACGGGGGAAAAGATCGGTACCCAAGGAGCGTTGAAATCACCAACCTGGACGAAAGATGGAAAGATCTTTCTAATGAAAACTTGCGTATTATTCCAGTCATTGTGAGAATCATGCCCCTGGTCGTAAACACGGCTGGAAGGTACCACAGGGCTTTTGTGGCGGGGCCTTGAAGGAAACTGGATGGCAGGTACCAAAGGACAGAAGAGATGAGAGAGATAAAGAAGGAATAATGAGAAAGGCGTTAATTGATAAGTGGAAGAATCTTGGGAAATATTTTTACTGAGCTGGGGAAAAAAGTCGGCCACGGTAACAATGTTACAGCAACTCTCTTCTTCCTAAATCCTGTTACTACTGCTGCTGCTGCTGCTGCTGCTGCTCCTCCTCCTCCTCCTCCTCCTCCTCCTGCTGTTGATGCTGCTTCTGCGTCTAATTAGTGCTCCTGCTGCGGCTATTTCTGATCCTGCTGTTGTTAATGCTTCTGCTTCTGCTACTGCTGCTGCTGCTACTGCTGTTGTTGCGGCTGCTACTTTTGATGTTGTTACTTCTGCTGTTGTTGCTACTTCTGCTGATGTTGCTACTGTTACTTCTGTTGTTGTCGCTGCTGCTACTTCAGCGCCTGATTAGTGGTTCTGCAATTATTTCTGGCTCTGCTTTTGCTCCTGTTGCGGCTGCTTCTGTTTTTCCTGCTGTTGCTGCTGCTTCTGCTCCTGTTTTTCCTACTGTTGCGTCTCCTGTTGCTTCTACTCCTGCTGTTGCTTCTTGTTCGCTTGGGTAGTGCTTCTGCTATTCCTCTTCCTGCGTCTGCTTAACTTTATTTCCAATTTGTTCTCCAGCTTTTAATCCTGCTGGTGTTCTTGCTGCTGGTATTCTTGCTGCTGCTGTTCCTGCTGTTGCTGTTGCTGTTCCTGCTGTTGCCTCAGCTGATCCTGCTCTTGATTAGTTATCCTGCTTTTCCTGCTGCTTTTGGTGATGCTGTTTCATCTACTTCTGCTCCTCTTTGTGTCTGCTGCCTTTCTAGGTGTTACTGCTTCTGTTGTTCGTCTTTTCAGATTTTTATTTCTTTATCCCACAGGTTAGAAGAGACTCAGAAGAGACTCTTGGCTTTCAGTTTCACCTTCATATAGGCTTGGTAATGGTGACTATCATCTTCAGTATCACGTTCATCCTCACCCAGGCCAGGTACTTCTAGTCATCACCTTCGCCTTCACTTTCATCTTCACCCAGGTTCTGCAGGAAAGTCTTCTACATAAAATAGAAAATAATACAGGCACAATAACTTAACTATTCTCTCTCTCTCTCTCTCTCTCTCTCTCTCTCTCTCTCTCTCTCTCTCTCTCTCTCTCTCTCTGTTTCTTCATTTCCTCTTTATCCTCCTCTTCTTATTTCTTTTTCTCAGTCTTCCTCGCCTCTTCCTCATCTCCGTTATCGTCATTTTCTTCTAATTATTCTTGTACTCCTCTTTTTTTCCTCCTCTCACTTCTCCTCCTCTCAGCACTGTCTGACTCAGCACTGTCGAACTCAGCACTGTCGGACTCAGCACTGTCGGACTCAGCACTGTCTGACTCAGCACTGTCTGACTCAGCACTGTCTGACTCAGCACTGTCTGACTCAGCACTGTCGAACTCACAACTGTCTGACTCAGCACTGTCTGACTCAGCACTGTCTGACTCAGCACTGTCGAACTCACCACTGTCTGACTCAGCACTGTCTGACTCAGCACTGTCGGACTCACCACTGTCTGACTCAGCACTGTCTGACTCAGCACTGTCTGACTCAGCACTGTCGAACTCACCACTGTCTGACTCAGCACTGTCGAACTCACCACTGTCTGACTCAGCACTGTCGAACTCAGCACTGTCTGACTCAGCACTGTCTGACTCAGCACTGTCGGACTCACCACTGTCTGACTCAGCACTGACTCAGCACTGACTCAGCACTGTCGGACTCACCACTGTCTGACTCAGCACTGTCTGACTCAGCACTGTCTGACTCAGCACTGTCGAACTCACCACTGTCTGACTCAGCACTGTCTGACTCAGCACTGTCGGACTCACCACTGTCTGACTCAGCACTGTCTGACTCAGCACTGTCTGACTCAGCACTGTCGAACTCACCACTGTCTGACTCAGCACTGTCGAACTCACCACTGTCTGACTCAGCACTGTCGAACTCAGCACTGTCTGACTCAGCACTGTCGGACTCAGCACTGACTCAGCACTGTCTGACTCAGCACTGTCGGACTCACCACTGTCTGACTCAGCACTGTCGAACTCACCACTGTCTGACTCAGCACTGTCGAACTCAGCACTGTCTGACTCAGCATTGTCTGACTCACCACTGTCTGACTCACCACTGTCTGACTCAGCACTGTCGGACTCACCACTGTCTGACTCACCACTGTCTGACTCAGCACTGTCGAACTCACCACTGTCGGACTCAGCACTGTCGAACTCACCACTGTCGAACTCACCACTGTCGGACTCAGCACTGTCGAACTCACCACTGTCGGACTCACCACTGTCGGACTCACCACTGTCGGACTCACCACTCTACAGTAGTTTCTGATAATGCAAGAAATTGAGGTCGGGGAGGGTAGGTGGAGTGAGGGAGCGTAGGTGGGGAGATAGAGGTGGGGAGAGGGAGGAGGGGAAGAGAGGTAGGGAGAGGGTGGTAAGGAGTGTAAGATGGAGAGAGAGAGGGGAGAAATTGGGAGGAGGGGAGGAAGGAGGTAGGGAGAAAGTGGGAGGTGTGGTAAGAGGGAGGAGGGAAGACTTAGGAGGGGAGAGATTGTGAGGTGGGGAGCGGGAGGGAGGTGGAAAGTGGGAGGAGGAGAGATGTGGGGAGAAAGGGAGGTGAGGGAGAGGGAGGTGGGGAGACGGGGCGGGAAGAGAGGGAGGTGGAGGAGGAGGGGGAGGGGAAGAGGGGAGGTAAGTGGGGTCTTGTACCTGGTAAGTTGTCAAGATCGTTGGTGTGGGCGGTGGTAGAGGCCGCGGTGGGGGTTGGGTGATGTTAGTGTGGGGTGGAGAGGGCTAGAGAACAGGTGGGAGAGAGGTTGATTGTGTGGGAGTGGATGACAAGACACTGTTGGGAGAAGTGTAAGTCTCCCACATCCCGCCATTTGATGTGGGAATGTGGGAGGGTAGGGAAAGTCGCTGGTGGTGTGGGCGGGGTAGAGGAAGTCGCTGGTGGTGTGGGCGGGGTAGGGGAAGTCGCTGGTGGTGTGGGCGGGGTAGGGGAAGTCGCTGGTGGTGTGGGCGGGGAAGGGGAAGTCGCTGGTGGTGTGGGCGGGGTAGGGGAAGTCGCTGGTGGTGTGGGCGGGGGAGGGAAGTCGCTGGTGGTGTGGGCGGGGTAGGGGAAGTCGCTGGTGGTGTTGGCTGGGTAGGGGAAGTCGCTGGTGGTGTGGGTTGGGTAGGGGAAGCCTTGGTGGGGTAAAGAGGGAAAGGGAGGCTGGTAGGAGTGTGGGCGGGGTGGGGAAGGTTGCAGGAGGTGTGGGTGGGGTGGAAAAGGCCACCGAGTGTGGGTGGGGTGGGAGAGGCCACTCGAAGTGTGGATGGAGTGGGAGAGATCACTGGGAGTGTGGGTAGGGTGGGAGAGGCCACTCGAAGTGTGGATGGAGTGGGAGAGATCACTGGGAGTGTGGGTAGGGTGGGAGAGGCCACTGGGAGCGTGGGT